TTAATAGTGATGACATTCGATATAGAGTACTAAAATCGTCAAACTGAAATTTGGTGAAGTAAAAGCTTGGTGAGTGGCAGAGGGATGGCACCCTTTGCATTATACAGAAAGAACTAAAACAATAAGAATTAATACAATTTTTGTGACCATAGCAGGGGCCACAAGCCACCCTTAGGCCCCTGCGTTCACAGGTGGATTTGGCAAGTGTGTCATTCAATATAGAATACTAAAATGTACTAAAATGGTCAAGCTGAAATTTGGTAATAGCTTGGTGAGTGGTGGAGTCGTAGATCAAAGTGTCTCTTGATTTGAGTAAAGAAAACAAGTTTGGGCAAGGTTGGAGAGATTTTACTGAAATTGGGATTATTAGAGTTAAGGCAATAAATGACAAATTTATTCGAGTTAAATTCATCAAATTAAAAAATTTCCACTATAGTCTTTATATTATGGACATGTTATTCATCAGTCAAAAATATGGTTGAAGAGTCTTTTTTGCCTGCTCCATCCCTTCCCATTCTCTCTCTCTCTCTCTCCTTGCCGATTTTCAACAGGTTTGTAGAGCGAAAGGATCACACAAATCTCTCTACGGACACCTTTTTTATCTTGTTCTATCTACTTCCATAAATGGGTAGGATGACATGGTTTACTTCAGCATTGAGTTCTTCAAGCATAACCACTCCCAGGATTGATATGCATCGATTACATATAATACATGTGCATGGTAATTCTGTTTATGTGATGTGAGGCCTATGATTTCTGTGCTATCCAATTGATTTGTGCTATATATTGAGCTCATATAGGTCTGATCTGTCAACTGCCAAACACATTAGAACCACACCACACAAAAAAAAAAGAACATTGTTCTATTATTGAGGATTGAGTTTTGAACATTTTCTTGCAGTCTTGCAGATTTGATTTTTGGGACTTTTTCCCCCTAGTTTAGATTGCTTAGTTTCTTGACTGGATTATACATATGTAGACTTGAGAAGAAATTTTTTATTTAATGAACTCAAGTGTAATGAATTTGCCATCTAGTGCCTTAATAATAATTCCATTTAAATTTGATATGGGTAAAAAGTAAGGACTGGAGATGTTGTCTTTGCTCAAATTATAACTCAAGTTCATATTTGATTAAGAACACACTCCAAACCACTCTCTAGCCTCCATTTTGTCTCAAACTCATATCAAATTGAGTTTATCATTTTTCTACCCAAATAAAGGGAGATACTTTTGCAAACTCAAATTCTAACTATTTGGTGACATGTAGCATTATTTAATTAGCCATTTGCAAGGAATAGATGAGATTTTATTTTAAAATTTAAGTTTAATAGTGATAATGTTATAGATCCACTGAAAATTTTGTTCAAATTTTTACTCTAATCTTTAGTGAAGAGTTGAGTCATGATTGGAGATAAGAGTAACTTGCTTGATGAGGTACCTTCAACTTATTTATATATCTAGCCCTCTACGTGATACTTTCCTTGAATTCTTTTATTTCCAAGAGTACGCATTGAGAGGGAAGAATTTGTTGGTTAATATTATGTTGTAATCTTGTGATCTTATTGATAATGTGACATATTGAAATCTGTCATGAGTCAGGTATTTGCATTTTTTTGTCTGTCAAGCACACCATTAGATAGCTTCCTTGAATTTTGGCTACCAATGTTATTAAAAGCGATAGGCGCACCGAGGCGCCAAGGTCTCTTGGGGCCCAGGTGCAAGACGCAAGACACAAGGTGAGGTGCAGGCTTTACCGAAGTGAGGCGTACCTTGTACGAGAAAACAATGTAGAGAAGAAGAAACATAGATAAGAGAAGTGGAGAAGACAACGATGTAGAGAAGAAGAGAAGAGAAAAGAATGAGAGAGAAATGTAAGAAGAAGAAGAAGATAACAACGTGAAGAAGATTTTTTGGAGCTGCTGGACTCGATAACGAAAGCAGGCAGTAGTAAAGTGTTCTTTAGAGATTAGAAATTAAGACAAATTTTTCTTCTATTGTTGATTTGTGGCTGAATGCCCAATGTATTGGCATGTGTACTTAAGAGTGTGGATCTTTTATAGTTGCATCACGTTTAATCAATGGTTAGATTTTAAACAAAACCAATCAAAATAACAATAAAAATAAATAAAAAAAAAGAAGCCCTCAAGGCGCAAGCCTTGGGCTTTTTTGCGCCTTGGCCTAGTCGCACGCCTTAAGTGCGATTTATCAAAGTTGCCTAGCTTGGAACACTGCAAGGTGAAAACCTTGGGCCTAGGTGGGACTTGGGCCTAGGTGCACATTTAATAACACTGTTCGTAACTATTTCAAAGATAATGCAATGAAAGAGAAGAATTCTGTTGGTTGAAGGGTGTCTTGATGCATATGCATACATTTTTTGGTGTTCATATGTGCAATAATATGATGCTTGATGAGATAAACCATAGAAAAGTTATTGATTTGTGGGTTTTTTATTTTTTATTTTTTATTATTTTTTAAAGTTTAGGAGTGTGCTTGCCCAATTGGCCTCATGGATCAAGTCCCATTATATTCTTTGTCCGCTTTGTCATTTGTGTTGTCAAAATACGTTTTGTTTTTTCTTATGTTACCTTTGGTATAATAAGGGATGAAAATTTTGGGAGGAAGGAGGATGATAGAAGAGGCATACTAGAGATTGAATTGTGTGTTTTCTTCTATTTGTTTTATGAATGGAAGAGAGAGAGAGAGAGAGCGAGAGAGAGCGAGAGATGGTTGTAACATAATTTTATTGGTTGTCTTTGCAAAATGAAGGATAGCCAACCTTTTAAGGTTAAATTATAAATCTATATTGAATAGGATGGGGAAGCTCGTGCTCTCCTCCCCATTAATCCCTTAATGTGAGCCTGTGAGCCGATGAAAATTGGTGGGTTTGGAGGCAGTGCACATCCCTTCCTAGATTTGTAATTGGCATGGGCTCTTTTAATTTGTGTCCAAACTTTGACTGTGTATACAAATTTATGTATTGCATAACATATTTTTGACATTTCTTAAGTTGTGCAGTGATTGGTCAAAATATTTGAGATAGTAGTGGAGCTCATTTTCCTTGCTCAAAGCCGGTTTCTCTAGCTCTAAAATACTTGAACACCAGGCTTGTAAACACAATGGTTTTTGCAACATTGATGTCCCAAAAAAAGAAAAAGAGAAAAGAAAGAACCAGAACTAGATAAGCCCTGTTTGGTAGAGCTGTGGGAAAGTGTTTATAGCTTATGCCTAAACAGCTTATAGCTTATAACTTTCAGCTTAAGCTGATTTCCAGCTTATTCTTAAAGTATCTCCTACCCCACTCAAAGAATAAGTTGATTTATGACTTCCACAAAGCTATAAGCTATAAGTTATAAGCTAAACCAAACACATCAAAATAGCTTAAATTAAGTTGAAAGCTGAAATAAGCTGTAAATAATTTCTTCCAAACAGGCACATAGTGCCATATGTCAGCATCTCACCACTGCTATTTTATCGTTTGATGATAGGTGCCTTGGATTGGCAGTTAATAAGTTTTGTGGGGATGAGACTGTTTGAATTTTGGATGTGTAGTGAAAAGGAAAAAAAAGGAACAAAATAAAAATTGTTTTTCCCCTTCCAGGAATACAAGATCTAAGCATACTCTATAAGGTGCAAAATAAGAAAAATTGAGTAAGCAGCATCATAGGAGGAAAGTGTGTTTGATTTCAATATTTTGGATTTAATTTTTTTGAAATTGAGTTTTAAGCAAATTTTTTACTTTGTAGATGCATCTTACTATGCATCTAAAAAGTAAAATATTTGTAAATTTTTTTTAAAAAAAAATCAATAAATACACAAGAATACGTAAAATGTATTGAACTCTCATATTTTTGTTATTTTTTATTTTATTGTATTTTTGATATTTAGTGAATTTTTTAAAGATGTTTTTTCACAAATATTATATTCTTGAAGTGTATTTATGTTTGGTGTATTTAAAAATTAATAAAATTGTTTAGAATATTAAAAAAATTTAGTGAAAAAAAAAATTACAAAAAGAAAATTCAATTTTTTTGAAAAGTAAATCCTAAAAATTCAAACCAAACAAGCTCAGCTCTTCAAAATTCCTATGAAAAATTGCAAGCCATAATTTACCAGAGGACTTGAGCTCGATACGTAGATTTTGTGGACACAGATAATGAGCTTGGTAGCATTGATGCAGATTGATCTCAATTTTCATTTTGAGCTCTGATTGTGGTTTGTGCTTTGTTACCTACAATGCTTTCTGCATTAATATATACATTTATTACCACTGGGTTGGCTAATGTTGCAGATCCGCAGCTTCTTTTGAAGATATGGTTGCACAATCAGAAGCAACTACTCATTTGGTGCAGTTTCTGGAACTAATACCGATCTTTTAATTATTGAAGTTGTGTAATACTGTTTGATGCAATAAACCTATCCTCAAGTCTGGAGAAAATATAATAAACCTTATAGTTTTGACATTATTATACTGATCTCTCTTTCAGTAATGCTAAAGGAGTTAAACTCATACATCTGGTGAGAGAGCACAAAAATAAATAAGGTAAAATATATATTTTGATTTAAAAAAGATGACAATATAAATTTTCTATTCGTCTGACTAATGAATTACTATTGAAATGAGGCTAATGTGAATTTAAACTTCATAGGAGCCCAATGTGACTTAAATTTGTGGGGCTTATTTTATTTTTTTTTTCAAAATGGGAGGTTATTGCAACTTATACGAAAAGTTGGGATGAAATGCTTTAGCTTGCAATAATCAACACCAGATATTACAAAATTCCAGAGTATGGGTGGCGTTGTGATCTTTAAATATTGGTCACTGACAGTTTATTGTCATTGTCACCGACAGTTTTTTGTGATAAACTCCCTTTGCATATTCAAGGATGAACAAAATAATGAAGTGTGAGTGATGACTTTGGCAGGCATCTGAGTGTTCATTGGCTAAAAATTGCCAGATAACCCTCAAAACCCCTTCTTAAGTGGAGCAAGTGCTGACATAGAAACAACAAAATTTGGTCTAGTGCTCTTTCCACTGACTTTGTGGGTTTTCTTGTGTACCCACCAACTATGTTGATCCTACTTGCTAGTTGGTAATCCAGTCATCTTTTTCTATAAAGCCCATGGAGTTGCAAAGAGTTTGAGCTACACACACACACACACAGCAGTAAAAGAAATGGAAGCTCCAAAGAAGTACATTTGTGTTCTGGGGTTTCTTTTGTTTCTAGGCATTGCAGAGCTTGGAGGGGTTAATGGGGCTGGTGAATGTGGAAAGGCTTCTCCAGACACAGAAGCTTTCAAGTTGATTCCTTGTGCATCAGCAGCAAAGGATGAAAATGCTACACCTTCTAGTGCTTGCTGCCTTCAGGTGAAGAAGTTGGGCCAGAACCCTGGATGCCTTTGCGCTGTTATGCTTTCCAACACTGCTAAAAACTCTGGAGTCAACCCTGAAATTGCCATAACCATTCCCAAACGCTGCAACCTCTCTGACCGTCCTGTTGGCTATAAGTGTGGAGGTTTGTTATATCCAATAACATCCGTCTCTTAATCACCCTTATATTTATTCTCTTGGAAAATTATTCATTACTCTCATAGCACCACCACTGAGTCATATGCACATACGTGGTGCTTTCGAACTCAATCAATAAGGTTCACCTAAAAAGGATGGTGATCACTGTTTTGGCTGGCCTCCACCATGCCAGCACTGGTGTTGGAAGTTGGTGCTTTGAGATTTCTTTTCTCACCCATGCAATGTTGTTTTTACCATCTTTTCAGACGTAAGAACTTTAGCAAAGAACAAAAGAAAAGAAAAGAAAAACTAGCTGTCCATGGTTATATTGCATTGAATTGATTGCTGGATTTTTTTGGTTGTGCAGGGAGTTCTGCTGTTGAGCCACTTTCTTGGGACATACGGCTCAAAATAGCCATTGGTGCAGCACGGGGCCTTGCTTGCTTGCACACATCAGACAAGAAAGTCATTTACAGGGACTTCAAAGCATCTAATATACTGCTTGATGGGGTGAGAATTTATATGATCGTGCCTCGTAAGTTAATGAGTTGGATTTTATACTTGTGTTCTGAAAAGGCACTGACAATAAGAATAAGTAGGAAAAGGAACTTTGAATATGGTGACTATCTTGGAATGGAATGTGTGTCCTCTGTTTGAGTGACAAGGGAATGTAAGAAAAGAGTTGAGTACATTTTTTTTTGGGGCGGGGGAAGGGGAGGGGAAGTTGATCCCGGGGCTCGAACCTGGGTTTTAAGCTTGGCTTACCCCTAGGTATCCATATTTTTTTTTTTGCAAAAATTTGTATCAATTAGAGGGGGAGGGAACGTCAAACTTGTGACCTCCTCCTAGTGAGGAACGAATCATGAATTCTGGCCAGTACTTGTTATCTGTGTTTTCTTAATGACAAGGTCTATAATAAGGTCTCAAGACTTGGGAGAGTGACTTGAGCACTTATCTAGAATACAGGGACTGCCATTTCATCTTTTAAATCATTCAACAAAACAAGTGGTGTATCAACATCACAATCATGTAGATAGATATTTCCTCTAACGGCATTCATGTAATGAGATTCATCCTGTGCATTTTCCATTGAAACAAACATGACCTACGATAAAATGGGGCAAACATGGAAAACAATTATTCTGAAAGCTTTTGTGTGTTTTGTTTTCTTTTTACAGAACTACAATGCAAAAATCTCAGATTTTGGCTTGGCGAAATTGGGGCCCTCAGGTGGAGAATCGCATGTGACAACACGAGTTATGGGCACATATGGTTATGCTGCTCCAGAATATGTTGCAACAGGTAAATAAGAATCCTTTTTTGTTAAAATGTTTAGAGAATTGAACCATAGAAATTATTCCCAAAAGACATCTTCTATGAACAAGCACATGAGAGGCAAAGGTTCCTGCTTATATGTTTTATTTGGTCGATAGTTCATATGATCTAGGTCGAAAAATAAAAAATAAAAAAACCCGTCCCTTGTGGTAAAATGAATTAGTTCAAATTTTCAACAGGTCATTTATATGTGAAGAGCAACGTGTACGGTTTCGGTGTTGTGCTGCTGGAAATGCTGACAGGTTTGCGGGCACTTGATTCCAAACGCCCCAGTGGGCAGCATAATCTGATTGATTGGACAAAGCCCTTTCTCTCCAACAAAAGGAAGCTGAAATCAATTATGGATGTGCGGATAGAAGGGCAATATTCTTCAAAGGCAGCGTTGATTGCTGCTCAACTCACTATACAGTGCCTGGAATCAGAACCTAGAAAACGCCCCCCCATGAAAGAAGTTGTAGATATCTTAGAACAGATTGAAGCCATGAAGCAAAAACCAAAAGAATCCCAAGCCATCTCTACACACTCTACAGCTCATCGTCATCAAAATGAACTAGTGCATATTTAGTATGTTAATTTTGTAGGCAAGTAAGTGAAACTGATAGTCATCTCTCAACCACTCTCTCTCTGCTATTCATTCAGTAGTGATATTTAGTATCTTTTTTTTTTAAATTTTAATTTAATTTTTTTTGTAGCTTTTTTACAAATGAAAGAGGCAGAGAATACAAGACAACGTGAGGAGATGCAGCGGCAGCTTTTTGGACTTCAGAGCATGTTGGCGCAAGTTTTGGAAAATCACAATCCACCAAATTCTCGACAATAGATAGTCATGGTAATTGGTAAGTGTGTTAAACCATATTTGATTATATTTATGTTCAAAGTAAAGGCAAATAAACGTTTGATGAGAATATCATAGAGAAATGATTGTCTTTAAACTAATTTAGTTCAATATTTAAAAGATGGAATTTACAGTTTAGTTTATGTTGACTAGTATAGAAACTTCAAACATTGTAATGTTCCACTGATCCAAGGATGAATAGTTAAACAAGAATTTTTGACTGTTCCATGGAAACCAAAATGTGATAGAGAAGGCAAAAAACGAGCCGGTTGGGGCAAATAGTTGGAAACAGCCTGGAAACAACCCGAGATCGTAGTGGTCACCTCGGCCTAGATCAAACAAACTTGTGAAAGCAAGCAATGCTTCGATAGGACGCATTATTAGTTATGTAGGACATAAAAGTGTGACAAAGTAGGCAAAACCGGGGCGTTTGGGGTCCAAAACTGCTCTGAATTAGCTCCTCTCTATTTCTTTTTTTTCCTTCTTTTCTCTTCCTTTGGTGGTCTGCATGGTGAAGTATTGCATCAGTCATGAAGGTGGACTGATCTGGAGCAATTTTGGTGGTCTGCATCAGATCTGTCTGGATGCTTTCGGTGGTGTGCTATATATGGTGGTGACTATCAACACCAATTCATAGTTTGTATTTATAGGTGACAGTCAACTATAAATACAAACTATTAATCATCGATGTATCAAATTTATTAGAGAGCTGCTATAAATTAT